GCGTATGCCACCACACCTGGCTTCAAATGAATGAATTTTAATTTTTTCAAGTTGAATCTTTTTCAAAGCTACCTGGAAAAACAACATTTTAAATTTCAAATATGTAAAAAAAAATCCAATGTATGTACCATAGAAGATTTCATTTATAACCCTAAATTAAAATTTCTACTAGTAGTATTAAATATCATTTTATTTCTTCTTATTCAATATAGTCACATTTAACTGCTAGGTAATTCTGAAGTGCACAGAAAGTATATGGCTTGGTTACACATTAGTTATCAGTAGGCATACATGAATCTGTTACTCACTCATTGTTAGAAGTATTGGACTTCACAGTAACTATTCTTTAACTCCTTTTTATTTTTTAAGGTAGTAAAGGAATATGCAGTCATATTCCTGGAATTTATATATTGACTCAATGACTTGTTGTGGACCCTTGTTATAAGGTAAACAATATCACTCAGAATCCATTAATCAACTAAAAAGTAATAAACTTAAAATATTATTTTGTGGAAACTATAAAAAACTTTATATGACTATATGTATAATATACATATATATAATTCTTAGCTGTGCACTTATCATTTATAAAACATGTAATGAAGTTTTTCATTTTGCACGTTTTTATTGGAAAAACCTATGTATGTATTCTTATTCTTTTTTTCTCCAATGTGCTCTGCAGTCACTTATGATATTATTGGTCTTGTGTTTTTTATATTTTGTATTAAAGTCATTTTAAGTACAATTTTAGAAATAATACGATATGTAAAGAAAAATAGACCAATAACAAAAATTTTTCAAGTTTTCTGCAAAGATCATTTTTATTATTAAAGACAGACTCTTTATTCCATGTAAAAATGTACTGGTAATTGAATATCTTTATATGTAATGACATTTCATAAGTGTTAATGAGAATGAAACTATCATATTTATAAGTATTTTCATGGAATGATTCATCAGAAATTTTTTTTTCAGCAGCTGTATCGACTCATGGATTTACTTGTGGATGGGAACCACACTGCAATAACAGAATTCATTTTATTGGGTTTAACAGATGACCCAATCCTTCGAGTGGTTCTCTTCATAATCATCCTGTGCATCTACCTGGTGACCTTATCTGGTAATCTCAGCACGATCGTTCTTATCAGACTCTCCCCTGAACTCCACCATCCCATGTACTTTTTTCTTAGCAACTTGGCTTTTGCTGACATAGGCTTTTCATTTTCTGTCACACCCAATATGCTTGCAAACTTCCTGGAGGAGAAAAATACAATCTCCTATGTGGCATGTGGCATCCAGCTTGGTTCAACTTGTTTCTTTGGGACAGCTGAGTGCTTCCTTCTGGCTGCCATGGCATATGATCGCTTTGTGGCCATCCGCAGTCCACTGCTTTATTCAACCAAAATGTCCACACAAGTCTGTGTCCAGTTACTTGTAGTGACTTACACAGGTGGTTTTATTAATGCTTCCTTCTTTACCCTTTCATTTTTTTCCTTATTGTTTTGTGGACTAAATGCAGTAAATCACTTTTTCTGTGACTTTGCTCCCTTAGTTGAGCTCTCCTGCTCTGATGTCAGCGTCCCTGCAGTTGTTCCCTCATTTTCTGCTGGCTCCATCATCGTGGTCACAGTGTTTGTCATAGCTGTTTCCTACATCTACATCCTGATCACCATCCTGAAGATGCGCTCCACTGAGGGGCGCCACAAAGCCTTCTCCACCTGCACCTCCCACCTCACTGCAGTCACTCTGTACTTTGGGACCATTTTCTTCATTTATGTGATGCCCAAGTCCAGCTACTCCACCGACCAAAACAAAGTGGTGTCTGTGTTCTACACGGTGGTCATTCCCATGCTCAACCCCCTCATCTACAGTCTCAGGAACAAGGAGATTAAGAGAGTTCTGAAAAGAAAGCTTGGTAGGAAAACATTTTTTTAGTGGCAAATGTTTTTGTAGGACCTAATACAGTAATAAAATTCCAAAAAATATAATAATAAAAGGAAACTGTGTATCTTTTCTTTTTTTCTTATAACTCCTTCCGCTAATTGCTTTATTTTTATCTTTATTAAATTTATTGGTACATATTAGGTATACAATACCGTTACATTCATCATTGGGATCTTGTACATTTACATGGTTTATCAGGTTCTTTTTTCCCCCTTTCTCCAGCCCTCCTCCCATCTCCTCCACCCTTCACTATTTACAAAAACATTGTTTCCATTTTTTTCCTTTTCACATATTTTTTCTTTTCCCTTTTGGCTTTCACCTTCCTCTCTCCCACTTTGTCATCTCTTTCAGACTTTTCCTATTACACAATATCAATTATACATTTTAATCCTTATTTACACTTTTACTTTTTCATACCAGAGAAACTCTTTGGTAACTACACATGCGTAACTTACTAATTTCAATTAAGAATGTGGCCTCGATGTGCATTAATTTAGCTATAAATCTCTATAGTTTCTCATTCTTTACAGAGTAGCATTCCATTTTATTTTTTGAAAAACACATCTTCTTTATCCAGTCTCCAGTTGATGGCAATTAGGCTTTTTCCGTGTTTTAGCTATTAAAAACTGTGCCACTATGAACATGGGTGAGCATAAATTGCTGTGGTATGATTCTTTTAATTCTTTTGTGAAGAAACCCAGAAGAGAAATAGCTGGGTCAAATGGGACTTCTAATCCTACTTGTTTGAGGTATCTCCATATCAATTTCTATAGTGGTTACAGCAGTCTGCACTCCCCACAGCATGAAGAAGGGTTCCTATCTGTGCACAATCCCACCAGTATTTGCTATTGGTTGATTTCTTCATAGCAGCCATTCTTTCTAGGTTGAGGTGGAATCTCAGTATTGTTTTCATCTGTATGTCTCAAATGACCAGTGATGCTGAACATTTTTTCATATGATTATTTGTTGATTTTACTTCTTTGTCTGAGAAATTTCTGTTCATTTCACATGCCCATTTTTGACTAGGGTTTTTAAATTTGAGGGGCCTGATGTTTTTGAGTTCTTTATATATTCTGGATAGTAGACTTTTTCCTGAGGAACAGGTGGTAAAATTTTTTTCCCATATTGCAGGTTGTCTCTTAGCTCTTGGTGGTTTATCTTGCAGTGAAGAAGCTTTTTAAAAAGATGAGATCCCAGTTGTTGATTCTCTGTGCTAGTACCCCTGCCACTGAGGATTTATTCATAAAGTCTTTTCTTATGCCAGTGGCTTCACAAGTTCTACCTAATGTATTTCCCAAAAAAACTTAGATTTTTAATCCACTTCAATTTTAGTGTAGTGCATGGTGGAAGATGGTTTGAATATCTGACATGTTGAAATCCAGATTTTCCAACACCATTTATTAAGGAGGCTATCTTTCCTCCAGAGAGGGTGTTTACTCCTTTGTCAAAGATGGGTAGTTGATTATGTCAGGAGATGTCTCTGCATCTTCTAATCTGTTCCACTGATCCTGAAATCTGTTCCTTTGCCAGTCCCATGCTGATTTTATCACAGTGGTATTATACTATAGTTTCAAATTGGGGATTGTGATACCCCCTGCCATGTCTCTGTTGCCTAGAATCACTTTTGTTCTTGTAGGTCTTTTCTGATTCCAAATGACTTTTTTGATTGTTTTCTCGAGTTCCATGAAATATACTGTTGGGATTTTGATAGGGATTGCATTGAATCTATATGGCAGTTTTGGAAATATGGCCATTTTCACTATATTGACTCATCCTACCCAGGAACAAGGGATGCTTTTCCATTTTCTTATATACTCTTCAATCTCTTTTTTTCGAGTGCTGTAGTTTTGAGTGTAGAGACCTTTTGTAGCCTTCATTAGATTGATCCCCAGATGTTTCATTTCTTGGATGCTACTGTGAAAGGGATTGTTTCCCTAATTTGACTCTCAGTGAGACCATTATTTGTGTACAAAAAGGCAATCGATTTTTGAGTATTTGCCTTGTATCCAGATACTCTACTAAATCTGTCAATTAAGTCTAGAAGTCTTTTGGTGGAGTTTCTTAGCTATGTAGAGTGTCTTATCATCAACAAATAATGGTAGTTTCACTTCTTCCTTTCTTATCTTTAATGCTTTTATTTCTTTCTCTTGTCTAATTGCTGTGGTTAATGTTTCCAAAAGTATATTGAATAGGAGTGGTAATAGTGGATGTCCTTGTCTCATTCCTGATTTTAGCATGAAGGTTTTCACTTTTTCACCACTTAGTATGATGGCTACTGGATTTTCATAGATAGCCTTTATCAAGTTGAAATAAAGACCATCTATTCCAATTTTCTGTAGCATTTTTTTAAAATCAAGAATGGGTGCTAAATATTGTCAAGCGCTTTTTCTACATCTATTGAAGTGATCATATGGTTTTTGTCTTTGATTCTGTTGATATAGTGTATTACATTTATTGATTTGCATATGTTGAACCATCCTTGCATCCCCAGGATAAATCTGACTTGTTCAGGGTGTGTGATCTTCTTGATGACCCTCTGTATTCTGTTTGCCCGTATCTTATTGAGGATTTTTGCATCTATGTTCATTAGGGAGATTGGCCTGTAGTCCTTTTTTTGGTTGGGTCTTTCCCTGGTTTTAGAATCACCATAATAATTGCTTTATGAATGAATTTTGAAGTATTGCTTCTCTTTCAATTTCACTGAAAAAATTAAAGAGTAGTGGCAATAATTATTCTCTAAATATCTTGTAGAATTCAGTAGGGCCTGGGCTTTTCTTTTATGGTAAATTTTTAATTACTTTTTCAAGTTCACTGATTGCAAGTGGGGTGTGTAGAACTTTTATATCTTCTTCATTCAACTTGGGTAATTCATATGTATTTAAAAGTCTGTTCATTTCTTCTATGTTCTGCATTTTATTAGAGTACACATTCTCGAGGTAATTACTGATGATCCTCTGGATTTCTGCTGAATCTGTTGAGATTTCACCATTTTCATTCCTAATTGCATGAATTTGAGCCTTTACTTTTTTTGATAAGGTTGGCTAAGGATTTAATCAATTTTATTCATTCTTTTGAAAAACGAGCTCTTTGATTCATTGATCTTTTTGTATCATTCTCTTAGTCTCTTTTGCATTGATTTCTGCTCTGATCTTTGTAATTTCCTCCCTTGTGTGAGCTTTGGGTTTCTCTTGCTCTTCTCTTTACAGGAGCTTAAGATTCATCATTAGGTTGTTTATTTGAGCTTGCTCTGTTTTTCCTAGTGTGGACTTTCACTGCTATGAATTTCCCATGTAAAACTGCTTTTGTTGTATCCCATAGGTTTTTGTATGTTGTACTGGTATTGTCATTAAATTGTAAAAACTGTCTAATTTATTCTTTAATTTCTGCTGCAACCCATTTGCTGTTCAGAAGAGTGTTATTCAATTTCTATGTGTTTTTGAAGTCCTTATGGTATATATCTAAGTATATATCATTGACCAATATGGAGCTAAAAAAATAAATATAGTCTTTCCATTTTCAGATGACATGACAAACCAGAAGCCCATTATTGAATTACCTTTAATAAAACCAAAATAATTTATGATTATGAGTGCAAATTTAATGCAACAAACCTGCTTAATATCCTTTAAAAGTTTAAGTTGAGGCTTTAATACTTTGTGGTAGTTGAATTTAAGGGCCCCAAGAAGCAGGAGTATTAAAAATCTGGTCCATAACATTGCAAGGTGAGGCCACTTTAAGAAATGGAGCTTAACGGGATGCATTTTGGTCATTTAGTGTATGCCTCAGAAAGGGTGTAATGGAACCCCACTTCCTTTCTTTTCTCCCTTTGGCTTCTCAACCAAAAGTTAAGTGATGTTTATCTACAACAGATGTGCAACCACAGGCTATGGCAGTAGAACTGTATGATTCTTGCCTGAAACCTCCAAAATAAAATTGGTTCTCTTTAAATAATTTCATTATCTCAGCTAGTAGAAAGCTAAGTAACACATGCTTCATTGGCTTAGGATTTGTTCAGTTTAAAATAAGCTTATCCTGATAATTTTAGTATGACTGATAGTATTTTTAAAGAAATGATAAAGAGTGAAATTAGACAGGAAAATTGGTAGAAATGTCATATTGCTGAAAAGTTGTCTGTAGAGGGTGATCTTTGTGGACACAATCAATTCTGATCTTTGTTCCTGGCCAGTGAAACAAATTCTTTTAGCTGGTAGAATCAGGGACATTGATTTTATCATTCAGTCACTTCTTTTGTACATTTAGTAATTATACCAAATGATTATTATACTCTATGCACTATTTTATTCTATTAGTTAAAAGTGAAAATCAGTAAAATATGGAATTTATCTTCTAGTATTTCATTCAGACAAAAAACTTAAAAAAGATGTGATATAGACCATGCAAAAGATCAAGATGTAGAGAGAAAAAAACAAAACAAAGCAAAAGCAGAAAAAAGTGCAAGAAGCTGATGTGCCGGGGCAGAGAATGAGGGCCTCACTGGGAACATCCTGAGCAAGGGTAGTAGTATGTGAGGACTTTTCACTACCAGTGACCCTAATATGCTACTCAAACATGTGTAACTTACCCCCAAGGATCTTGTTCCAACAGCAAGATTTGTCATTTAATCAATCCATGGTGAATACAAGTAAAACAAATGATAAAATGTAAAGCATTCCTTAAATATTAAATTATAGCTTATAAAACAGTATGGAATTGCATCCCCCTAGTATGTGAGACCCAGGATTAGCTCTAACACTCAAATATTCTTTTCAGTTTGTCAAATCAGAAGAAAGTATTGCTAGCATGGGCTGTAGACTTAGTGTTTTTTGAGATAAGAGGGACATAGGTCAAAACCTAAGGCATGTACTTTTGGGAAGTCTGACTGATACATGTCACACGTATCCTCAGGATAAAGAAAAACTATGTAATCAATGTATGCACAGATTTCAGGCAAAGAGGGAATCTCAAACTTGGAATTTAGATATCAAATAATT